AAGTAATTTAACCAATATTTAAATTATGTTTTCTTATTAGATTGGTAACTTGCATGTCAACATAATTAACTTGCATGTTGACATAAATATGTTGCATACATGTCTAAATAATTATGTTGCATGCTAACATAATTTAACTTGCATGTATATAGGGGGCAGAAATATGCCACCATAATAATTATATATTCAACAACAGGAAACTGTCATCACATTCATTCTATCAAGAATAGTCCATCTGATGGTGATTTCATTGATTGTCCTCGATGTTATCTGACACTTCATTTCCTGCGCTCCTGATGGCGTGTTTCTTCGTCGCTGTCCTACCACAATTTATTGTGAGGATATTGCTAGGCAATGTCTAAGCCAGTCTAGTTTTCGGTAGGCCTAAATTTTGCAAAAGTTATTTCCTGTTGGCCGCCATATTGGATGTCAACTTGTTGTTTTTTCCTCTTTGTCTTATCAAACTTAAGAGTTTGTAGCAGAAATATTTCGGGGAAAATCTCACTGATTCTTTTTTAATAAAGGAGGATTCAAAAAAATGTACAAACTTCCGAAAACAATGGTTCTTACCCCCAGATTGGTAAATATAAAAAGTTAAAATTAGTTGATCATGAACGATGAAAGAATATGAGCATTTGGACCTCCAATATTTAATTTAAACAATATTTTATTCACTGATGTCATCGTGAATAGGATTGGGCAGCAGGCGCAGCCTATTTTAGCCCTCTCCCTACATTTAGGTCAAGTTACAAAACAAATAGTAATAATAAAAGAATGTAAAAAAAGAAGAGAAAAGAAACACAAACAAAAATGAACCAAGTAATATAGAGAAAAAAATACAGAAAAAGTCATATAAAGAAAAATTGTACAAAAGAGAAAAATAGAATGAAAAAAATAACAAAAAGGGCAAATTACCGGGGGAAAAACAAAATACAAAGTAGTACCGGTTTTGGGAGTATTTCTAATAATTAAAAATTTTATCTATATATATGTATATGACAGTGTTTTATATAAAACGTTTTGTTGCTGCTATAAATGTATGTACAGCTTCAAATATTTGTATATTAATGTCAAGTCCATGGTTAGAACTACCATTTAAAAAAAAATAACATTCAGGAATATTGTCACAGTTTATAATATCATGTGTTGGTTGAAAAAGTACACCTCTTGGAATTGTATATTTTGGACAAACAATAAAGTAATGATAGGCATTTTCAATACAATCAGTACAATGTTCACACATTGGATTTTCTGCTAAATGTTGATTATATAAATCTGCTTTCAGATTACTAGCATTATTCCTAAACTGGCAATGTATTATGTTATATTTTCTCATGCCAAAATTAAAAAGTTCAATACTTTTCCTACAGAAATAAGATTTTAAAAGACTTTTGAATGAACATATTCCTGGGCATTTTTAATATGATCTGGCAAGGTATTCCATTGTTTGACTGTAGAGGGAGGAAAACAATCCATATAAGATGTTGTTCTAATGTTAGGAATTTTAGATTGAACATCATTAGTTCTGAGATTATACGATTGACTTGATGGGCGATAAGGTTCAATCAGATCATACAGATACTGGGGAGAATAACCATTAATAATTTTATAAAACAATATTAACTTATGAATTTTTCTCCTTGTCTTTAGGAGATCCCATCCAAGTTCATCGTACAATTTTGTACGAGAAGAGTTACACCTTAATCCAGTGATGATTCTGTCTGCTTCAACTTGTACAGTATATCTTCTAAGAGTTTAGAATCTTTTTTCAGAACAATTGTCCCAAACTACATCAGAATACTCTAACACAGGTCGAACAAAAGCAAAATATATTTTAATGAGTGTTTTAGGTGAAACCTGGTATTTGAGCATTCTAAGAATGTTTAATCTTTTTGAAGCTTTTTCGTGTATTATCTGTATGTGTGATGTCCACATAGCATCTCTTTGGAAATGTAAACCTAAATGGGTATGGGAATCATTTTGAATAATGTGTGGGCCATATTCACCAAATTTAACAGGAGAATATACAATATTTTTTCTACTAAAATTTAAATTTACAGTTTTGTTCGGATTAAAATCTACTAGCCATTTCTTTGACCATTTATCAATATGTTCTAGATCAGTAAGAGATTGTGTAATATTTTCTTTGTCTACGATAGCATATAAAGAAGTTCATCAGCAAAAAGTCTTATATTGTTAACTAGATCATCACAAATATCATTAATATATAAAAGAAATGGGAATGGTCCTAGGACAGAACCCTGAGGAACTCTAGCATTTACTGTTTCAGAGTTTGATGTAAAACCATCTATTACAACTTTTTGTTGTCTATCAGACAAATAATTCTCAATCCAACCTAGTACATTGCCATTTATACCATAAATTGTTAATTTTGTTAAAAGGCCTTTATGCCATACTCTATCAAATGCCTTTGATATCACAAAAAATAAATCTTTCATCTTTTCCTTTGTCAAGATTCGAAATGATAGTATTAAATATTTCTACCAGTTGATTAACAGTTAAATCTCCAGGTTGAAAGCCAGACTGATATTTGTATAATATATTATTGTCCTTCATAAAGTTATATAAATGTTTAAACAGAATTTTTTCCATCAATTTACACAAGACACTTGTTAGAGATATTGGTCTATAATTAGACACTTCTTGAGCACTCCCTTTATTTTTGAAGACTGGTGTTATTTGCGAGAGCTTCCAGATGTCTGGTAGTTTTTTCCCCTTAATGACATATTAAAAAGAGTTGTCAGAGGCTTTTTAATTGAAGTTGATATTTCTTTTAGTACTCTTGGAGATATGCCATCAGGACCAGGTGGTTTACTTTTATCAATGATAGTTAACTGATCATAAATTTCAGCCTCGGTGATAAGCATTTCGGGAAAAATGTTATTAGTTTGTTGTGGCGGACCAGTTACATGAAGAGGAATATCTGATTCATTAGTAATGGAGGAAACTTGGGCAAAGGGAAATTTAACTGTAGCTTTTCCAGCTGGATGGAAAATAAGTTTGCCATTTGATTTTAATGGTGGTAACGGTTCATAATTTTGTTTTGATGTTGATTTAACAATTTTCCACCATTTCCCAGGAGGAATTGATTTATCAATCATTGAAGACATTTTTTTTATTTTAGCTATCTCGGGATTTTCGAATTTCATCAATGACTGTATTTCTAAGTTCTCTGTATGACTGCCAATGCAGAGGATTGTCCGTATGTTTTGCTTTATAGTGAGTTCTATTTAGTTTTCTCATTAGTTTGCGTATTGTATTATTCATAAAAACTTTATCCCTTGGTCTGATGGTAATTGTTTTCTTACGAATATGTTTATCAATACACTTATTTAAAGTACAGACAAAGTTAGAATATATTTCATTAATATTTCCAGAATTGAATACTGTATTATCCCAGTCAACTAGTAATAATTCCTCATTTATTTGACGATAATTTGCATTTTCATAATTTCTCACTTCTCTTTTATAAGCATACTGTTTTTAAATAGTGAATTTTACTTCTACACTTGTCACACAATGAGAGCTACAGAGAGGTGCTGTTGTATCATAATTTGCAATTAAGCTTGTATTATTGGTCACATGTTCCTGATTTGGTTGTAAAGTTAGTAGCATCGTTTATAAGGTTTGTTAAGTTAAGCCTTTGTAACATTAGTTTAAATTGTTTACTTTGGTCAGACAACATGTTAACATTGAAATCACCTAATAGTATGGTAGGAATATTCAAATCAAGGACTTGTTGCATGTTGACTAGGAAATGATCCCAATATTCTGCCCTAGAACTGGCGGCCTATAAATGACACCAACAACTACTTTATTATTAATAACAAAAACTTCTGATCAAAGAATCTCCATATGTATGAAATCAAGATCATTTCTTTCTAAAATAATGTATGTTTTTTGATACATAAAGAGCAACGCCTCCTCCAAAACGATTTCTGTCTTTTCGAATAGGTTGATGATATCCGTTAAGCAAAATATCATCGTCCCTGATCGAAATATCCAAGTGGGTTTCAGTAAGAGCAATAATATCGAAATCAGTTAACTCAGCTGATATAACATCAACTTTTGGTAGTAAACTACAAACATTATTATGAGCAATACGTAAGTTTGTCATAAATGGATATGCATGGATATGGACCTCCAATATAGCGGTCAATGGAAGATAACTCTTGCTAAATTCTAGCCTATGAAAAACTATCTATACATACATGTACATATATGCCTATTTTTAAATCCATTTCAGTAATAAACCATAAAACCTTTTGCTGTTTTCAACAATTTTATTTTCATAACGGAATCTTTTTAATCAATGACCGTACTAGGTCTTTATGATAGTTATACCCCACGCAACAAGTTGCGTGAAGTATAATGCTTTTGACCCGTCCGTCAGTCCTGTTTTGTTTTTTTTTTTGTTTTTTGTCAGCGCAGCTCCTCATAAACCGCTGCACAGAATTTGGTCAAACTTTGTAGATATTTAGGACACAATATGTAGATGTGCATAGTATCAGGAAATTGTGATTCCTTTATTTTTTTCCGGGAATTTCGGCACTTTTCAACTTAGATTTTTGGCCATACGTTGAATATAGAGATGAACAGTTTGTCAGCGCAGCACCTCATAAACAACTGCACAGAATATTGTGAAATTTTGCAGACATTTAATATGTAGATGTGCATCAGGAAATTCCCATTCTTTCTTTTTTTCGGGATTTTCGGCACTTTTAGTTGTGGGGGAGCGTGGGGTATGTGAGCTTGCTCACTTTTTCTTTCATTGACTAATGTAAAACCTTAATAATTCAATCACTTAATTAAATATTCTTTAGTTTCAGCGAATAAGGAAGAAAGGTATTTAATATATGTACATGTATGTGTTGATATTAACTTGTAATTTCAGACAGAAGTCGGAAGTTATTCAAAACGAAATAATTCCTGAAAAATTCTTCCGTATTTATTTTTGTATTGTCAAACTTTAACTAAGGATGGTTTCGTTGATGTCTTTCGTTTTGTTATTTGTTACAATTTCAGGTGAGGCTTTTAAGGTCAAATTTTTATTTCATAAATTAAATGTCAGTTTTTATGTGTACTAAAGAGGGATTTTTTTCATATTCGTTTCATTTAAAAATTATTGAAATTTTCAATGATTGAAGATCTGTCTCACTCTGAAACTATCATAATTTGTAAAATATAACAAAAAGTATTTTAATCTCTCAGACCATTTAATGTGACTTGGACAAAGATTTGAAGTTAATTAATCTTTTTTTCAAAATGTCTGACAGGTATAATATCATGACTAATTAATGTACATTTATGTTACTATAGCATTTCACATGAAAATATTATTTAAAAGTACTTATTTTAAGGGGAAGAAGATTATTGAGGTGAAATGTAATTTTTTTTCATTTTTTTTGTATTTTCATATTTTGCACATCGCTGATTTAGTATGCCCCATGTATTTCAAGGAAGTTATTTCAGTCTTTCCTATTCTCACAAAAGAAAAATGCAAATATATACTTGCCGACTAGCCCAGGAAGCATATCATAAATCTATTTCGGGGGGGGGGGGGGGGGGTTAGTCGATGACTTCTGATGCTTCAAACCTTTGAGTTTTCATACCAATTCACAAATTCGCGTTTACCAGGAGGGTCAGTGTTTTCCGATGGGGTTCAAGGTTACTTTTTCTTGCCTTAGTATAATAATTTTATAACCTTGCAAATAACAGGGGGTCCTGACCCCCCCCCCCCCCCCCAGATCCGCACATGCTCCAATTTCATTGGATAACTTTTTTCAGAATTAATGACAATTATTTCCGCGGAAAATAGAAAATATAGTTTCCTTACCTTATCTAAGAGATAATGATTGGCGAATGTCATGCTGTAGCCCTACTTAGTCTAAATATAGTTTTCATTTTAGCTCACCTGAGCTGAAAGCACAAGTGAGCTTTTCTGATCACCCGTTGTCCGTCCGTCCGTCTGTAAATTTTCACATTTTTTAACCTTTTGTTAAGAACTGCTGGGCTAATTTTAACCAAACTTTGTACAAAGCATTCTTGGAAAAGGGGGGAAATTTAAATAATAGTCAAAATGAAGGACCAAGTCCCCTTCCAAGGGTAAATAAACAAGACAGAAATAGGGTGGGGTGATTTAAAAATCTTCTCAGGAACCTCTGGTACACTAGAAATGCTAGGCTTTTTGTAAGCCGCTTGAAAAGTGGGGGATATTAATTTGGGTCTGTCCGTCCGTCAGTCTTTCTGTCTGTCTGTAACGCTTTCTTTTCCACACGATATCTCGAGAACCCTTTGAGCTTTCGCAATGAAATTTTGCATAGCAACTCCCTAAGAACTAAAGAAGAACCCTATTGATTTTGAGGTCAAAAGGTCAAAGTCATTAATTCGCAAATTCTGTCTGTCATAACACTTTCGTTTCCGCGCGATATCTCGAGAACCCTTTGAGCTTTTGCAATGAAATTTTAATTAACAACTCCCTGTGGCCTAAGAAAGACCCCTGTCGATTTTGAGGTCAAAAGGTCAAAGTTCAAGGTCGTAAATTTATACATTCTGTCTTTGTGTAACACTGTCGTTTCCGGGCGATATTTCAAGAAGATTTTGAGCTTTTGCAATGTAATTTCATACCAAATCTCCCTTGGACCTCTCTCATCCCTCTCAAAGTGTCCCGCCCCGTTTGTTTTTATTAGTATTTATTGTATTTCATGTCGCTATTTCTACCACAGGGGCATTAGATGAGTTATAAGACTTAAAACGTATAAAACAGGTTCTCCGCGGACTTTAAATTCTTATTACATCTATTCGAACTGTTTAATAAAGACTAAATTAGACACCATGCATTGTGTATGATAATATAGAACGTAAATATATACATGCATGTGACTTCATATTTGCATATAATCTTCGATAATCGAAAGCGGTTCCGTGGTTTAGTGGTATGTCTCTCGCCTCTTGTGTGAGAGTTCGCGGGTTCGATTCTCGGATGTTCCTTTTTCTTTTTTTTTCCGAAATACTTTTTTTTTACTAAATGATAGTATTGAAGCATGTGAAATAAAAAAAAAATTATGAGGTCTAGCTTCATTACATCATTACAGTGTGATAAATATTCCATAATAAAAAGAATCTTCTATACACATAATAAAGAATAAGCAATCAAATCTTTATATCCATATTGGCATATTTTATTTGTTTCAGTATACATGTATACATTTAATAATTCTACAAATTCAGTCATAGGGATCCGACCCCCACCCCCTTCACTACTGAACTCAAAATTCCCTGATATTCTGAAAAATCTCTGATAAACACTGTTACCCACTGTTAAAGTTCTGCTTTTCTCTGTATAAGCACTGCACACCCACTGTACAAAATCCCTGTACCTACTTTCTTCCCCAGTAAATCACAGTACAAACTCACTGTTATTTTTTGTACATCCCTGTACTTTACTGTACGTCCCCACTGTACAGCCCAGTACACCACTGTCTGTCATTGTACGCCTCCACAGTACAGTACTGTACATCACAGACGCGTACAGTACTCAGTCTCTGTACTGCACAGTACACTACTGTTGATCACTGTACGCATTCCAGACTGGCACTGTACATCACTGAAGTTCAATGTACGCATCCCAGTTTGGCACTGTACCTCACTGAACCATACTTTGGATGTTTAGACTATTTAACTTTTGCAGTTCCTAAATTTTACAGATTTTTTTAACTTCACTAATTGTTTAGATTACGTCGTTGGTATTTTAGACTTAGTAAATAAAATATTTATTTTGAGAGTGATAATTTTGTGCTGATAAGTACACTTAGTATACAATGTCTAATACCATGTATAAAACGTAAAAAAAAAATATTCAAATCCTATTGATTACACGTAATATCATAAAAATATTGAATAATTATGATTTCTCTAGTCTTAAAATTTTGAATTGACCGATAAATTAAAATTAAGAATATATTCTCTTTTATTTAATATTTAATTTAAGGTGGAATATCCCTCTGATAAGAGAGATAACTCTTCTGATAAGATAGATAACTTTCTTCTGACATTTTGTCATGAAATTCTGTGAATTGTCATGTCAGAATTTACAAGTTTCATTCATAGGAACCATTGTAAAGTCAACTCATTCAAATTTATTCTATGGTACAAATCTTAATTTATAGTTTCTATTGCTAGTATGTACATTAATTATTTATAATAATTTACTTAAAACATTTATACTCAGTTCCTTTAAACAGTGTAAATTGAGAAATCTCTATCTCTTAAAGTATAATTCTTTTTATTGTACAGAAATTTCAGATGCAGTATTGTTTATAAACATTTAATTAATATTTTGTTTCATAAAAAATTATTTTCAAGGGCGATAATGGAACGATAACTCTTGTTTATGGATGCGTGTTATTTTACATGCACAGAAAACAATTTGTAATTGTGATTTATGTTTTCTAATGGAAATTAGATAGGTATGAGAGTAAATATTATTTTTATATATACCTCATATTTCTAATTTAATTGTGAGATAAAAAATAATTGATCTTTCTATTTACCATATCAAATTTTCTTCACATCATGATTTGACATATTATTCATTTCTGAAAAAGTAAGCAACGCTTCATACTTCAAACTATTTTCCATTTGAATTTAATGCTATAGTTGTTGCTGAAAATCAATGTCTGGATTTTTAAAAAATAAGTCGTGAAATTTGGAGCAGAGGGATATTGCCTCTTAAAAGAAATATTATTTAATTCAAAATTAATAATATTTATTAATGCATATTTACTATCCTCTGTAAATGCTATACATTGTATTCGTTGATCATATGTTATGTCGACTCCATGACCATATGGAGAGTAAAATACTACATTGTTATTGTCTAAGATTAATTTGAAAAAGCTGGCATGCAAATACTATATTAAATTTTGTTTGTTTCTTGGTTTATTGTGAGTCGGAAAATGTAAACTATAGATCTAGTGTAAGATTACTTTTTTTGTTCTTCTCTCATTAATAGAGTTGAGAATAACAACAGAAAATTAATTCTTGAAAATAAATAATAATTAGATTTAGTGAATTCTTGATAGTAAAATGTCCACATTGGCCCATGCACCCAGGTTCAGTGGGGGAAAGGGGGATCTAAATGTGGTAATAAATGTAAATCTGATAAATATGCATTAATAAAAAGTGGATATATATATTACGACATCTACCTTCAATAAGTAAACTTTTATTTTACTCTGAAAAATCAGTTCATTTATTTAATATGATCTGCTGTACAAGCCAAATCTGCAGTATAATATGACCTGAACTCTAAGCTAAGCTAATAATTTACGAATTACGTACATATTTTTTTAGAAAATGCATTCAAAACATGTTTCACTGGTCAAAATGGTTGGAGAAATATGTAATTATGTTCAATGTGCAATTCCATAACGTTATACAGAATACTACATTAGTACTCGGCATTCAAATATTTGGAACAACTTTCAGACAACTCAGACAAGCCATCAAGGTATTTGGGACAAGATTAAAACATTTAGTTGGTCGAAATTTTTAATTGAATAATATAAATATTTTATCCACAAATTTTGTATTATTTAATTGTACCAGGTATTCTGTCGAATTTCATGAGAACATACGGATACAAGTAAACTATTATAAAAATTTTCTATTAAAAATCTTTGATCCGCGCCTTTTCCTTCACATGCTTACGCGCTCGGGTAGAACCAAGGTAGGTTCGTGTATATCGCATGTTATTCGCTATGGTCAGTTTAACAATAGACCCTAATTGCCTTTTGTTCTGGGCTCGCGTCTCACCAGTGATGTAAGTTACAAATATACAAACTAACTGACCACTCACATCGAGGAGGAATTTTCACAAATCTCTATACATCACAACAATGTTTTATAATCAAGAAGAAAGAATTCATGCTTTTTAAATATACAAAAAGCGTTTAAATTGAAAACTGAAGTACATAAATATTGTACCAGAGACACAATGCATAAACTGATAAAAAAAAAAAATAATAAAAGTACATGTACATACAAAATCAAATAACAAGAATTTGAATTAACCTAGTGAGATAGAGTGAGAGAGGGGGGGGGGTGCAGAGAGAAAAAAGTGAACGATTTAGCAATTTGTAAGATACATGTAAATCATTAGAATAAAACACAGAGAGAAAGAGTGAGAAAGAGGATAAAGAATGCATCAATAAACAATAATGGATCATAATTAAGTAGTATTTTGTCAAAACTTATTCGAAACTTAAGATACCTGTGCAGTCTTAATTTAGTTTGTCCACATCAAATAATAGGAAGTCCTTCAAACGGGGGAGGGGTATGTTAAGGCATAAGATGTAAATTCGGCATCATTATGAAAATAATATCGTCTTAAGTAAGTTCCAAGAAAAATTTCATTCAGAATTGCGCTTAAAAATCGATTATATTAAATATATTGAATGAAGTAATAACATGAATTGTAATATTTGACTTTTATCGATGTGTCATTCATATTTTGTTGATTGACGCCGTTTCTTCAGTATGTCAGCCCGGTTAATCTTTACTAATAAGGATTTTTTGGGTATATTTTTTTCCTGTTTAAAATGCGTTCATGTCACAGTCGAATGAAACGACGTAAAGACACGGGACCTGGAACATGTGGAATCTGGGACCTCACTGCTGCATGCTGCATGAATACAGATCACAATACCCATAAGTGCAGACTATTCGATAAAAATTTCACAATACTAAACAATTTCTATGTGTATGTTTCAATTTTTTTGAGAGAATCGGTATCGCACGGCGGATAATAAAGATATGCTAAGGAGCTACAGACAGAGGCCCTGCGTGCGAGTACATAACCCTAAATGTAGAATATTGGTTTAATTTTCCACAAAAACTAAGCAATTAAATATTGTATATATTGAACATGTTTGAGAAGATCAATTTACTGAGGAGCTGAAGACACGGGGCCTAAGGATCAGCGAACGAGAAAGATCCCTCACTGTTGGGTAATGTGCAGTGTAATAGAGTATTTTAATAAAAAAAAAAATCAAGCATTCAAATAAATAAACAACAACAACAGAATATTGGTTGATTTTTGCACAAGAATAAGTAACTTTAATTGCTTCCTATAGATTTGTGCATTGAAAATCCTTCATGGCACGATTGATGGCACGGGAGCGAGAAAGATCCCTCAAGGCTTCACAGTGCAGATGTAAATTTGTAATAATTTATTGGCAATTTTAGCATTTCTTAATTGAATATAAAGTTCTCAAAGGGTCTTACATGTAAAAGAAAAATAATAAATTAATGTTTTATAAAATTAATGCCGATGAATACAATTATTTGAACTGTGAAGCATTGAGAGATCTTTCTCGCTCCCGGGCCATCAGTTTCGTGCCATCAGATCTGTGCATTGCTATATTCAACCGTGCCATGACCTATTTTAAGGGATCACGGTTGAATTTTATATTTAATCACTCAAGCAAACCTTGAGTGTTTTTTTTTTTTTTGGGGGGGGGGACTTACGCGCAACATTATTAAAGATAGATGAAATTTGTTGACAAAGTCATTGATTGGTATTCGATTTTCTTTTCTCCAATTTTCTCTTTTTTTTTTTAAATATTATGTCAAAGGAGGGAATGTCAAATATCAACAGTTCTCATTGATGATAGAATGCATGAAGTTTGATTCGTAAAAACAAATAACTAAAATAGATTAATTTTTTTTTTCGTTTACAGAGATATATTTAGGGACTTGTTGAAATTTGTAAGGCACTACGATATTGCAATAAGCTAGTATTCAGACTGAATATAAAAAATAGAACCGCGAGTTACAGATAAAATAGATCAGTGTGAAATAATTTTTTTCTTCTTTATCTCAATCATATTGATCATCTTTCATTAACAGTGACTTGTATTCTGATGCTACAAAATATTTATAATTTCTGTCAAAAGTAGTTTTTATCTTAGCTAATCAAAGTTAGAATGAAACGTGCATGTAATCTTAACAGTGTCTGTAACAATTATTTCATACCAAATTTTTCGAGAGTATTTTTGTCAAGTTAACAAGATTACAGATTTCTTTAAATGCAGCATCGCGTGTTTACAAACTGTCACAACGGACATTGCATATTGTACACTTTCGGCAGCGCCGGCAAGTACCCCGAACAGTAAGACGACAGGTGTCACTGCCGCCATGGACACTCGCCGGCTACATGTATATACAACCATGTAATATTACGCAAGATTGAAGTGACACGAGGATTCGAAAATATCTTCTCTCCTTTTCTCTCTCTCTCTCTCTCTCTCTCTCTCTCTCTCTCTCTCTTTGTGTTGTAGGTAATTATAAAGTGTAATTATATTTAAAAAGAAAACAAAAATAAAAAGTAATGTGTTAAAATATTATAATTTATTGGTCGAAGTGAATTTAAGCTGGATGTTTCATAAATACATGTTAGAATTATTAAACTGTTCTAGTCTAATCTTTCTTGTAGGTTTTTCTACAATGCTATATTTCCTAAATTGTTCAGTTATTCCAAAGACGTAAACATTATGGTTTTGTGTTTCCGATTTATTCGACGGAAATTTTTGTTATTTTACTAAACTCAACTCTTTTATAATTTTCCTATTAATAGTAGGATGTTTTTGAATCAAAGGAAGTGTTGTAATGTCATCAGTGAAAGATTGCTATTTAAAATGTGAAGGTAATTCTTGTAAAAAAAAAACAACATCTTATTAATAAGTCATACCATATCAATAAAAATTTAAATTCATTTAAGATTGCTTAAGATGATAAAGAATGCATTTTTTTTTGTTTACAAACATAAGTCTTAGTTCGGTTTGAAATAAAATTCATTTTATTTACACTTATGATTTGCGCAGTTTGACATTCACTTAATTTTTTTTTAACTTGAGATCATGATTTATAAGAATTTGGATTTAGATATATGTGTGATAAGTTCATGTGAAAAAATAACAGAATTTATAAATGCCCCAGCAATTGTACATACGATGCTTAAATTGATTTTATAACATTATATAGATTAATTAAGATTATATAGCAAAACGATCATTTAGTAATTTATTCAGTAAAAGAAAAAAGTACTTCTTAACTAGGCTAAATGGGAACCTTAGTATTTGTAAATTTTATTACTAAGTTGATGTAAAAATTTAAATGATAAATTTTTTTGATTGAATTTAATAATGAATTAAAAATTAATAAATACTGCGAATGAAATAATACATGAAATACCAAAAAATACTTTATGCTGAATATATTAAATCTTCATCTCCTTAATTCACCTGATAGCTTACTAAGGCGAAATGGGACTGCTAAATTTTACAGTGAAGGCGAGATGGGAACAAACCATATTATCTTGTAGATAGGGAAAAGAATTGTTACATTTGATTTTGTTTTTTAGTGTGTGATTGTGTGTCTAGATAGTACATGAAAATAGAAAGAAGAGGAAAATACATATTAACTACGTGTATGCATGATTGAATGTATCCACATAATAGCTGCGTACATAATTGTATCTAAAAAGTTTAAGTCAATAGAGTTAGGACAGCTATCGGTTTTTAATTACAAAAGAAAGGAAGCAGAAAATTTTCAGCGGATTCAAATAATTAAGTCAACTCAAAGAACTAAATTTTAAAATATAGGTACCGGAGAATAATTATATGTTAGGTATATTATATTGGTCCTTTGTACATGGAAACATATATCAATGAAATATTTATTCATCTGAAAAAGATTAATGATTAAAGATTTTTCTAAAAAAAAAAAAAAAAAAAAAAAAAAAGAAGCCGTTTAACTTAAAATCTTGTCTAGGCCTTTTTTTTCTTTTAACAGACGTGATATTGGAAATTTCACCTCAAAAATACTTACACAGAGGTAGCATGAAAATATAGATATAAAACAAAACTTTGTTGGCAGAATTATTATTAATAATTCAGTCATTTACTAGAATTAAGACTTTCTATTAAATAAAACTCAATGGGAAAAAAGGACAGGGTAAAACCGTGCCGTACAGTAATATACAGTTACGTGTACAGGGAATAATAGTAATGTACTGTGAAGTACAGTTATCTGTACAGTAAAAATCTGTGACGTACAGTGTAAAACAGTGACTGCGTACTAGGAAGTACTGTAGAGTACTGTGATGTACAGAGGAAATGTACTGTGAAATACAGGGAGGTGCTGGAAAATGCAGTGATTCTGCACAGTGATGTACTGTAATGTACTGTGTTGTACAGAGGCAAGTACAGTGATTTACAGTGAAAGTACAGAGTCTATCAGAGATTTTCAGAGAATAATCAGAATATCAGGGAATTTCAAGTCCAGTAGTGGATCCCCTCCACCGAACTGCACATGGTTTACTTTTTCCCTTAGCGGGGGACACAAATTCTCTGAATTAGCTTGTTTCATTTAGATTTGTATAGGAGTTAATTTTTAAAGGTATAACAAAAATAAATAACATGAATATAAGAACTTTAAAATTATCGATACTGGACCGATTCATTTTATGTTTTTTAAAGCAATACCAAGCAGACGGCCATCAATGTCAACACTAACATCTTATCAAGTTCCAGAAGGACAAAACATTCTGCTTCAATGCAGCTTATATTTATCCACATCTGATAAGGATTCATTCACGTGGTTTTGGACCTGTGCTGACGAAGACCCCACGTTAAATTCTACTTCCAGTGGTGATACTAGTATCAGCATTATGACTTTTAGGGCAGAGAGGAAATTCAACAAAAAATTTTGCTATTGTCGAGCAACATCAAATTCTTCAGGGCAAACGTATGATTCCACTTCTACAAACTTACTCATAACAGTTTATTGTAAGTATGTTTAAATTACCGGTATATTATTATTAATAGTGTAAATTTTTTTTCTTTGTATATACTTTGTCTGCATTCATGCGTTAACTTTCATTTCAGTGTTTTGATCTTATAGTTTTAATAATAAACATTATACATTTATTGACTGAGTTCGAGGGCAACATGTTTTGTCGGACCCAAAAACCAAGCTGTCTGCCTGAGGCCGTTAGGCCAAAGGCAGACAATTTGGTTCCAGGGTCGACAAAAGCATTTTGCCCGAGAACTTAGATTAGCCAATAAATGTTTTGTTAGACCTTTCATTTTATTTTATTTATTTATTCTCATACATGTTTTAACTGTCTTCCGTGTTGTAACATCAGGTTCTTCACTGTTGAATACTAACAGGGACCTATATACTATATAGTATATAGGTCCCTGATACTAACCAATAAAAATGAGATAATCTCCGCCCATGCTCTGACGTAAACGGTCCAACATATCGACCGATCCAACATCTCACTCAAACTTCGATTTTTTATGCCCGCTCAGCAAAATATAAAATTTTTTTTAGATTTTTTTCATATACAGCTCAACGCACTTTTTAAGCTCACATGGTTTTTCGCACAAATTAAGGTCACGTTGTTGAAATTAAAATTACCATTTTCGAATTGGAGTACATTGACATAACCCTACGTTATAGTACATATATAATATTCGAGCATAGATGTATCGTCAAATCTCTGCTGCTCTGTGAATGTGCCTTCAACCCCCTGGGGATTACAGCTGTCACGGCCAGCGTCAGTTAGGGTGTCGGACTTGGACTCTCTTGTTGCCTGCTAAAACTCCAATATTACCTATAATTCAGTTTTCAAACTGATATGCACAAATCTTCTCAAATAAATGTTTTGGTCATGAATTTAATAAAAAAGATAAGGAGTGATCAACTGCTAAAATAATATTGTTTATAGGTGATATTAATTAAGCAAACAATGTTTGAAATCCCTTTATTTCAAAGAAAAGGGTTTAGAGATCAGTTGTAATAGGCTAGGGGCTGAGGTTTATGAACAGAATCTCTGTGGACCTTACAACAATTTTTTATTTCAAAGTGGCATTTTTGTCAATTGAAGCGGTCAATTTGGCCTGTAGTCGGTTCCTAGGGAAAACTCTGAGTTGCTATCGCCAGTCGTCTCAGTTAAAATGATAGTCGATATAAATAGGGGGAAGTACCTGACAATTACAAAGCGCAAACCATTATTTGTTTTATATATTTCAACTTAAATAGTTTTTTAACCTTTATGTTATACTTATACATGTACATGGATTGTTTTCGGTAGGTAATGGGATAGTGACTGACACCTTAGGGCTAGTAACTTTGTTACTACCACAAGCCCGACGGGCTAGTATCTTATTTTTGTAATTGCACGCCCCTGAAGCATGTGTTTATTTGGTTAAAAAAATACATCAGATGCATAGTATTTAGAGTATACATATAGTTTGTCTGTGATATTTGTGATTGTGATGCCTGAAAGGACCTTGATTTGGAAATAAAGGGTGACTGGAAATTCCAGAAGCCCCCCTTTTTTTGGAGAATACCCATACAGAAGGGTAGAAGCCCCAATAAAGCGGTCGAAGCCCCATAAAATTGATTAATTTGGGGTACATAAAACCCTAAGGTGATGTTTAAATGAATGTTATTGATATCCGTAAATTTTTTTAGCCAATTTTACCTCAGAGTCGACAGAAATCGGGCGCCATTACGGGTTTACCGTACACCACGCCCGATCTAATTTCGAAGCGAGCTGCTGTTTATCATCGTATAGATAAAGTTTAAAATAATTCATTTTAATTTTAATATGTTTGTTATGCAAGATATATATAAAATATTATGTAATACATATTTTTAAAAATTTAAGGACGTTAGATATTAAGATAATATGAATATGTGCATTAATTATTCATATTATCAGGGACCTGTATACTTAGTATAGAAGTCCCTTATATTATCCTAATGTTACCATCTCTAGCCAAATGGAGGCCTCCTTTTTCTAGAGCCATAATTTAAGATTTTTTTTTTTTTTGGAGATTTTAAAGAAATTCTGAATTTAGAGATATTAACATACCCAAAAACTTCAAAGCAACAATAATAATAAAAAATAGTAAAGATAATTAATTAATTAATAATTACTTTTATGTTTCAAAGAGAACAAAAAGATAAATTTCAAAATATGAAAATACAGAATTTATTTTTGAGATTTTAGGCAAATTATGAATTTAGAGATATAAAAATATGAAATTCAAAGGTTCAAAGCAACGATAATAATTAAAAATAAAAATGATAATTACTTATATGTTACAAAAAGAACAAAAAATAAATCAATGCCAAAATATGAAAATACTGAAACCTGGAAAGAAATAGTAAATTAAAAAAAAAACATCAATTTTCAAAAATATAGTTCAAATACCGGTATATAGATATTTTATAAAAGTAACCTTTTATGTTTTTTTCTTAGAAAAAAAATCAGATGTTTTAAGTATTTTACATCAGTTGTTTACATTTTAATTGTCTTTAAATTAAAACAAATATGAATTAAAAAAAAAAGTAAAGTAAAAAAACCACCACAAAATAAAATAAGTTTTGATTGAAATTTAAATATGAAAAAAATGGACTGGTTGAAAGTGAACTGAAAATCTTTTATCATCTCCAAGCATAGGTATTTTATGTAATTTTACATTTCATTGCCAGTTGAATCTGTCGACTAAAAATTTCCATTGCCTCTCTGTTCAAACTAATCCCACTGACATGCCAAATGTTTTTATTCAAATTCATTAAACCCCTACATCTCTAAAATATCACATTCTGAGAATTTCCATATTTCCTTCGTAGTGTGTTATTTATATTCCTATAATGAATGCATGAATACTGAATTTCAAATTTAAATAAACATAGAAGGAAAACAAAACAAAATAAATACCTTAGAAATTAAATAAATTAACAACTTGATTCATTAATTAATTTAACTTAATTATATATTATAAATGATTGGAATTTAAAAAAAGAACTTTATTAATTGATTAATTGCCTGGTTAAATTCATTAAAAAAAAAAAAACAATCAATTAGTATTTTCACTACAATGTCTATCAACAGGTTAAATCTCAATGTTTTTATGTAACAGTACACATCAGCTATACAAATATTTTCATATTTTCCATAATGATTTTTGATATAAAATTCTTTTTGGTAGGTACAAACCAGTGTGGATAAAAGTATTCAAGCAGGCCATGATCATGAAATATGTTCATAATTTATATTTTATTTCATTTAGGAAATATGTAAATATCTAATACTTCATTTATATTCTTAACTTTGCTTTCATATTTTTTTTTTGAAAATAAAAATCATATATTATATTATTCACTTTTGATCAAGATTACGCTAATGATTTACTCGAAATGACTTCAGTGATCGCGATTTTAGATCGGGCGTGGTGTACGGTATACAGTCTAGTCGAACCCTCAAACGGGGGTATACCCCCAAACGAGGGTTTTCCTTCCCTTAATGCAACGCACGAATTTCAAGAACGATAACTCTCCTTATTGAAAATATATATATTTTTTTTAAAAATCACAAACATGCAAAAATAATTCGTCTACACCTTTGTTTTCAATTTAAAAAAAATAATAAATTACTTTTCGTTTTTATTTACCTCATTTCTGAAGCACAAAAGTTTGTTTATAAGACAGAGGAAATTCGGACGGGCAGAGAAGAAAGTGTCGAAAAATAATAAATAACATGTTCATTACACAAAATTTGTAATACCGGGGAACGGAATTATATGTAGTTTAACTTTAAACAAAACATTGTTTGTTTATTCATCCGTTTTATTAACTTATGCATAAAAAATCTAGTTGTATCAAACATGGAGGTCAAGGCAAAGAATACACTAACTTTGGGAGAGAAAAAGTCTCGATTTTTACAATAAACATATACTTTTTCGCAATACAATCTCAGACCTGTTTACTCTTACGATTTCGCCGTATTTTTTACGGATTTTAAGTACAAAATACGTCTCACGTTTTTATGTTATGAAAATACGGAAATCGGAAATACATTTGTTTGGAATTTTGCAGTTAGTTTTCGTGATGTTCGTTTTAATAATCAGAATGATTGATTGTAAGTTGTTTAACGTCCTTCTCGAGAGTATTTCTCGCATATGGAGACGCCACCAGTTGCCGGTGGGGAACTGCAAATTTTGTCCTCTACTCGGGCCATTGAGCAGGCGAAGATCTTTTTCGTGCCAGCACGGGACCTCAGTTTATACGGTTTCATCTAAAGGACCAATCTCCATGTCCCTAAGTGGGATCTGAACCCTCGATGTAAGGATCAAGTCCACTCTGCCACGCCGGCGACTTAGTAATCAAATAAACAGTCTCCATAAATATTGTAAAATCAATGAAAAATTAAATCTTACTGGCAAATGCCAAATCTCAGGGACAGATTTCATAAAAATTACTGAGAAACAACGAGATGGGTAAACAGGTCTGCAATCTCTTTAAACATCTTTAATCTATCAAATTTGAGTACATACAGAGCTACGAAATAATCCATCACTTTGCACGAGCATATTTTGTGGACCACACGTTTTTCCGTGAAAAACGGCACTTTTTGAGTGTCTGCGCATGCGCCGTACCCCCGGTTGAGGGTACGGATTTCCAACATCCGTTTACCCCCGTTTGAGGGCTCGACTAGACTGGTATATGAAGAAAAGAAGAAATGGCGCCCGATTTCTGTCGACTCTGAGGTAAAATTGGCTATAAAAATTTACGGATATCAATATCATTCATTTAAACATCACTTTAGGGTTTTACGTACCCCAAATAATTCAATTTTATGGGGCTTCTACCACTTTATTGGGGCTTCTACCCTTCTGTATGGGTATTCACCAAAAAACGGGGGGCTTCTGGAATTTCCAGTTACCGGGAAATAAAGAATCTATCATCATGTACAAAATAGCTGCACAAG